GGCTGATAGGAAACAAGGAGCTAGAGAGAATTTGGGTAAGGAGAGAGATTATAAGTGGCCCTTTTAGGGCTCTTTTCAATAGGCGTGGACCATTTCCATCTCCCTTCTTCATTCCTCGTCTCTGGCTGGACAATCACTGTGGCCTGGTCCTTTTGGCTTTGTGCGCTTTTTAGACAATTTCCGGCATCCTGATTTTTCGAAACTTGTGAAAAATTTGATTTTTTCCCCAAACTTTTCCGTATCCGATCCCTACTGGAAACGGTCTGTGCCAGATTCGGATTGTTTCTCGCCAGTTCTCTGCCGGACTCGGTCTCTGCGGGACCCGGTCATTGAGGAGTTGGCCCGGCAGAGACCGGGTCATACATCGGGTGGCTCGTGTAGAGACCTGGTTCATTAGAGACATGGTACATCAGAGTCCGGTTCTGGCAGGGATCGGGTTGGGAGAATTTTCATATTTTTCAAAATTTTCGAAAAATCAAATTTTTGGAAATTGTCCAAAAAGCTTACAGAACTAAAAATTTTGAAAAATTTCAACTTCAGAATTTTTTTCAAAAATTTGGAAACTATTTATTTTCTTCATTTATGACTATTGCGAACTTTTTGAAAAGGACAACATTATCGTCTTCACTGGCATAGGAACCTCTATTCTCACATATCTTAACAAATGTAGCATATTCTCTTATCCTTTACCATATTTTAGGAAGTTGCATCTACCCAGAAGCTCTCGAGCAGCAACCCGCGAAGGAAGGAAGGGGCAGTAAACGTGCATTTTATACACATATGGCAAAGAATGCATAATAACGCAAAAAGTACGGGACATTTTCCAACAGCTCTAATTTACAATGCCAACATCTCGATGGATGGACACTATCTACTCACTTGGCTTACGAGCCTTCTCACCTTGGCTATATTCCACAGCATCAATAAGCTCCTACGCTTTCAAGCTTACAGTTGTTACCCTTAAAACAACATATGAGCAGGGTATACAAAGAACATGAGTGGGATTCGAACCCACGGTCCCAGCGACCAAGTGGCACAAGGCCCACGAC